GGCGCTGTGACGTCACCTGACTAGCTGCGGTTAAATCCTTTTTTTCCTTTTTTCTTTTTGGGTTCTCACAGGAGGAGCTGGTCTGGGGGGCTTTCACTTTTTATTTGTTTCTCACAAATTAAGCACAAGGAGCACCTCAGGTAAGTGTTCATGGATCCAATGTTTCTAACCTTGGAACATGGCATCTATGCGACCCCGGCCCGTCCCTGTTCCCCTCCATTAGCTTGGGCGACCCTTAGCTTAGCCCACAGCAGCTCGGCAATCTGGACCTGCATGGGCCCAGATCTTGTGCTTCTGCAGACTGCAGCACAAACCAGGCAAAAAGCTTCTGACACGGACACAGCTCACAGCATGTGCACTGCCAATCTCCCGAGGCATTTCTCGCGCCTGGGTTTTCAGCTTGAGCAGCTGCATGCATCACATCACGTATGTGTCACTCAATGCCTTGTGCTTTGAAGGTTTCATGACAGACCAGCACCCATTGGATGTCTCATCGCATTGTTGTCTTTCATGGTACTGAACAAGTCGCTTAGAGGAGTATCTACACGATTTTGGGATGGAGTGGCATTCTAGCATGTTGTGGGATAGTGCTCTGGCATTCCTTCAGCAAACTTGCAATCTCATGGTGCTACTAACCTGAAGAGTTCCGGACTTCCTGTCAGATAAAATCATCCTCCAAGAATCCTCCGAGTGAGACGACCGGGGCTGACTCAAGCGTGGAACTGTAACTCAAACCACGTGTAAGAGCTCCCGAAATGTCAGCCCGTCGCGTTCCAGCGTCCCTCCGGCTTCTTCAGCTCGTGTTCGGTGACCCGCGGCCGGCTCGCACTCCCGGTTCCCAACGCCGCTATCCGTATGCGAGCTCTAGGACCCCCCGCATTCAGGCGGTTTCGCGTTTCAATGCCGGGAAAGTCAATGTGCTCCCCCCATTGGAGGACGCGTCTGTGTCCGAGCACGAGCTCATTGCTTCATTGGGGAACACTCTCTCCACGGTAGTTATCAACACGTCATGGTAATAATAGCAGGCATCGAGAGTGTTCGTCTGGGGTGGTATCTGCGTGGTGGATCCGGCAGTCTGGTTCACTCCTCATCGCTGCAATGTAGGGCGATCATCCACTGTTGGAGGTTTCGTCAGCGAAGGTCGACGAGCTCACCAACAAGAGCAACCGCTTACCTGCCAAGCCTGTGGGTTGAAACTTTATGCCTATAATTTCAAACTCAATGCTTTTTGAATGGAGAAAATCCGTGCCGCGCATCTGCTCCGGGACTGCTTCATGGTCCGCATAAGAATGCGACAAGAATGCGAGAATCAGCCTCATGGAAACGCGTATGCCCGTCATTTCAGTTAACAAACATCAGTCGATGTCACAAGCTGTCAAGAACTCTCTCTACATCCGAGGCCACGCCTGGCAGGTGTCTGCCATTTGGACGTCAGACAATCAGATGCACCGAATGTTTTCCACATCGCGGAGCGTGCTGACTCCATCACCCACCAAAGAAGACGTGCTTGCGATGCTGGAGAAAACGAACGGATGAATTACCGGTAGCAGCTTACGATTCTGGGCGCCGAGCCCTGTCAGTAGCGAAATGTTGAAAACAGCGCATTATTTCTGCACAAAACACTTCGATCGCTCTCTGAGCTGGGATGGTTCTAAAAGGTCACCGAATTGCCTAGCTCGTCGTCGCATTCATCGTTCGCGCCTCATACAGTATCAACACGGCAGAAAGCATCGACAACACCGCAGCGAGTCGTTGCCGCAAACCTCAATTCCCAAAGCTTGACCGATGGAAAGGGAGCCATTCGAATCGCGCGCGCCCACATCAGAGTTCCAATAAGCACATGATCATTCCCTCCCCGGATCAGACGGACCCCTTCATTGCCAAATCCCCCGTGGGGTATCCATCCGCCCGGGTTCGTTCGGTCGGTGATCGGCCGAAAGCTTAAACCGCAGCTTTTCGGGCCTCATTCCGCCGACGCATACCCACCGCCGTCCACGAATGAAAGCAATTACCCCAAACATTCGCTCACCGTCAGCCGGAGAGCTATCATACATACAGTTAGCGGTCCCGCCTCAGAGATGAACCCTCGTGGGACAACGGCCGTGGTCAGGGTGCTACGCGGGGAACCTGCCAGGGGCAGAAGCCATCTCCGCAGAGACCGCTGCGGGGGATACGATGCCACCTCCAGATGTGCCTAATTGCCGAGATCCGGTGTCATGACATGGTCGGACGGGGCGACGGCAATAAAAAGAGAGCAGGTTCTCGTGTTCTTGGCTGGAAGATGTTTCCTTGCACCCAGTCTGTCGCTATCGTGTTGCCCAGCACAGTCGTCGGAGTCCCGATTAATCATCGAAAATGAGGTTCTCTTTGACTTCACTGCTGCTCGTAGCGAGCTGTGCGTTGAGTGTCTCGGCGCAATGTGACGACGAGGTCAAGCACACCGTCTGGCTTGCGGGCGACAGCACCATGGCGCCAGATGGCGGCCACAATGGCACGGAGGGATGGGTAAGTGAAGCTTTAGACCCTGGACCGTGTGTATGATACTAATGTAACTGAATAGGGCCAATATCTGCGTTACTCGCTAGACTCTTCCAAGATCCGAGTCAACAACTCTGCGTATGCCGGCCGAAGCGCCCGAACATTCACGAGAGAGGGCCGTTTCCAAAGAATCATCGACGAGGTCAAGGCGGGTGACTGGGTCGTGATTGAGTTTGGACACAATGATGGGCGTAGGTATTGATTCCGTACAAGATTTGAGCGTGTCTGACGAAGATTCCACAAGCGGGCGACCCAGCCACAGACGTGAAGAGCCGCGTCGACTGCCCCGGCATCGGCAACGAAACATGCACTGCCATCTTCAAGTAAGCAATCCCCCCTCCGTCAAAGACACATCGCGTCTAACATCCCATTCAGCAACGCAACCGAGATCGTCCAGACGTACACGACCTACCTCCGTAACGCCTCCTCCATCTTCCTCTCCCTCGGCGCAAAGGTCGTCATCTCCACCTCGACGCCCACGAACCCCTACCAGACCGGCAACTTCACATGGACGCCCCGGATCTACTCGTGGTACTCGTGGTACGTCGTCGAATCGCTGGGCGGCCCCGCGGCCGGCATCTACTACGTCCCGCACGCGGACTACTGCGTCCAAGCCCTGAAGCTCCAGGGCCCCGAGGCAGCGGTAGCTGGGTACCCGATGGATAACACGCACATGGCCCCGAAGTTGGCGGACACGTTCTCGCAGGCTTTCGTGTTAGGGTTGAAGTGTGGGACGTCATCGCTGCAGCAGTATGTTGTCAACGCCACGTCGAGAATCGAAGGTCCCGAGTTGGGGGCTTGTCTGCCTGTGAATGCGACGTTGCCTATCTAGGCTGTGCGAGCTTGGGGATCAGACGCAGGCTGGAATGAGTAGAGACATACAAGTCACGCTTGTCTGGAAAAGATCAATTAGATGAGATCATTACGATATGCATAAGATCAATGATGTTGCTAAAAGCTCAGCGGGACTCTCAATTCAGGGCATGCTACTTAATCTCGAGGTGGAAGTAGTGTTTCGGGCCAGAAGTCATGCGCCCGAGGAAGCGTGAAACTCACATTCTATCAACAATCTTGCAGTCATCTAGTCATCGGAAGGGTGATGGTTCTCCATATAGGCAATCGAATAGCATTCGTCGACGCCCAAAAAGTCAGTAGAGGGAGCGAAGGAGTAGGCGCGCTGGCAAGAAGAGCAGCAGACCAGGGTAGTGCGGCGGTCGCGCTCGATGACCATGCAGGAGATGCCGTTTTTGTAGGAAGGGCAGTACACGTAGTCGGATTGTGACTGAGAGATGGTGTTGCCGCATTGGCGGCACTGAGTAACGTAGAGAACGTAGTTGCACATGTTGATGATTCTGGATGGGGGGGGGTGACTTAGCTGCTGTTTTTGGAGCTTTGGTGAGATTGAGCTGTGGTTGGATGTGTCTGTTTGGTCTAATGGGAAATGAGAGATGCAATTCAGTCTGTAGACGGCCCTTCTTAAGTATGCATCAGCCGCTGACTTGATCATGTTCAGTTGTCTTGAGTGAGTGATTCTGATTTAAGACAAGTATCACGTTGCACCAATGTTAACTGTACATGACCTAGGGCATTGTATTGTTCTCCTTCTGAAAGGGCCACTTAGCCAGGTAAAGGCGAATTGCCTGAGTCAACGAAATTGACACCAAAGGACTTCTTTGTCACAAGCAACAGTCTCGTTCACTGTCAAATGGAGCTGCAAAGAACCCACAACTACAGTGAGCAAATCGTCAGGTAGATATGCTTCATACCTTACCTTTTTGATATGTTCTCTACTGCACTTCCTAGGCTTCAGTTCAAGTATGAATGTCGTTGTACTATGGAGGTGTTAGTGTGACAAATTTGAAGTTGCTATTTGGAACATCTCAACTCAACCACTTTTGAAACACCTAAGGGTGATTTCACTGAAATAGAAGAACTTTGAGCAAATCAGTGGCTTCATGTCAAGATTCACCGAAGATTGAAGGGTCAGTGATTGTGATTGGTGCGCCTAATGCTTATGAAATATGTCGTCACCAGAGACTGGTCGGTCCGGTCGACCTTATCTCGAAACGGAACTGACAAGACTTTGCATTACCTATGTCTGCAGCAGTTCTAGTAGTCCACCAATCTCCTGCTTCTTCCCCTGCCCCATCACAGTATGAGTATGCGAGAGGGAAACATAGCCCCGCATCCATACGTGTAGAGAGAGATATCGAGCGAATGTCGAAATCACAATTGCCTCGAACATGAATTTAAGTATACCTCGCTGCATTTTCGTGACGAAACTTTACGCAAGGCCACAAGATGCAGACATTCTTTTGCTAGAAAGGGTCTTTACTCCTGGACTTTTGGCAGGGTGTCATAAGAGGGAAACCCGTCCTCCTCCGTGTACTCCTCAACGTCATCCTTCACATTGAGGTGCTCCACCCAGATCTTGATTACCTCCATAATAATCTGCTGTCATAATGCACTCTCGAATTCTGTCTTCACTAGGCCTCATCGCGCTGCCTCTTGCCTTTGGCCAAGACGACATTGGGTTCGGCAACGGCTCGTACTCTTTCAAGACCAGAAACTGGGAGGCAGTAATTGTCAAAGACTCTGCCACACTTGCATCCCTGAAACCAACAGGAAGCGACTTCGACTTTCTCCCATACGACTTGATGCAACTTGGTCGTCGTGTCCAGAATGGCTGCTACCATTGGGGCGACATCAATATTCGGTACCGAGCAACTTCGTCAGACACATGGAATGAAACCAGCTCCGCCACCGCCAGGCAGCCAGTCATCGAAGCTGGAACCGGAGCTTTGGTGACATCTGATTTATCCCCAACCATGACACTTGGCCCGCTGGAGGTGATTCGTGAATGGATCGATGTCTCTGGCGACCTAGGGCTGCGATTCACAATCACCAACTCGGGCGAAGAAGATGTCGAAATAGGGGCGCTGGGATTTGCGGCGGCCGTTAACAACATCTTCACCAAGAGAAACGTGTCAGACGTCAATGAGAAGTGCTCCTTCATGGAGCCGTACGTAGGACAGGACGCCGGCCACCTCCGAGTTTTACCCCTGAATGGAGTTGGCCCCGCTCTCGTCATCACGCCGCCGTACAAGACACCGTTGGAGGCCTATAGCTGGCTGTGGGAAGATAACAAGGGTGAGACCAGGATCGGGTCAAACATGTGGGAAGGATTCTTCGAGTGGACTGTTCACACCAAGGCTTGGGCTGAGAACGATTGGAAAGATGTGGAGCCTTGGAATACTCCCACAAACGCCGTAATCAAGCCAGGAGAATCACGGAGATATGGCGTTCGATTTACAGCGGTCAAAGAAGGCGTCCAAAAAATTGACGCCGCGATCGCGAGTACGGGGATTTCTAACGCCATCAGCTTGCCTGGGTACATCATTCCACGGGATAGCCAGGCTACTTTGCACTTGCAAACCAAGGTTGGGACGCATTCTATGTCTACGTCTCCCCCGGACTCTCTTCAAGTCATCGACCGAGGCAACAACAAATATACCATTCAGCCATCTGCATCAACCTGGGGCCGTGTGCGCCTCAACGTCAACTATGACAACAACACCACCCAGAAGATTCACTATTACATCACAAAGTCCGCAGCCGAGGCTGTCTCTGATCTCGGAACCTTCCTTACCACTGAGCACTGGTTCGTCGATGACTCGGATCCATTCGGTCGGTCCCCGTCAATCATGGGCTACGATGGTGAGAAGGGCGCCATCATCGAGCAAGAGAAACGAACAGCACCCGCCGAGCTGAGCGATGAGGGTGGGGCCGGCGCATACGTTGCTGCCGCCGTCAAGCAGACCTTTCAGCCCAACGCTGCCGAGATCGCAAAACTGGAGGAGTTTGTTAATAAGGTTCTGTTCAAAATCATACAAGACGAGACCTACGCAGTCAAGAGGGGGCTGTTCTACTATGACCCTGAGCTGGACTACAACTACACCATCACATCCGGCCAGAAGAAAGATTACGTGTACGAGATCAACCGTGCATACAACTACGTATGGCCGGCTGCGACATACTGGGCCTTGTATCGTGCAGGAAGAGCCTACCCGGGTTTTCTGAAGACGCATGACTGGGAGTGGTATCTGAACCAAGCCTACAAGACCGTCATGAGAGGAATGGAACCCGACATCGGCTTCAAAGACAAGGGACTCATGGGCGAGACTGTCTTTGGAACGGTCTTGGTAGACTTGCAAAGGGATAATAGGTCCGTGGAAGCGCAGAACTTGACCGATATGATGAGGGCTAGACTCGATGTTTGGTTGACGGAGGCATATCCGAATGGGAGCGAACAGGCTTGAAACTCCATCGGCCAAGAAGGGGTGTACTTCTGGGCGAGGTAAGTCGTACTAGAAACCGTCCCTCTTTTCTGAGCTCCCGGCTGACTGATGTCCTCAGACATTTTGGTGAAACGGACTTGGCCACGCGCGTCAAGAACAGTGTGTTGGGCTACATGACCACAGTTCCACATTGGGGATACAACGGGAACGCCCGCCGATACTGGGAATTTGTGTGAGACTTTACAGATCTCCAGTAAGAGCATCTTGCTGACAATATTCCTGCAGTGTTGCGGACAAAACTCAGGTCGTCGAGCGTCAAATCCATCATTACGGGTCCGGGCTCAATGCTCTCGTGATGCTTTCGGCATTTCGTGATGACCCAACCAACTCCTATCTACTCCGTGTGGGATACGGCGGTACATCTGGCGCGCTGTCCAACATCCGCGAAGATGGCTTCGCGTCGTGTGCGATGCATGCATGGCCGGAAAATGTTTTTTTGGGACTGGTTCAGTGGGGACTACGGTCCCAATTTCGTCGGCATGGTTCTTGGATCGGGCTCGTATCTCGTCGATGACCTGGACTATGGAATGATTGCTTATGGTGGGATCTTGAGAGTTGACGACGATCTCGTAACCGTGCAAGTTCGAGACCCTCTGCGTCGCAAAATCTTCATTGGGCCTCTTGGAGTTGAGATTGAGATTGATGCAGGCATTGTTGAGCAGTTTACCTATCATGTGAAAAGTCATACAATCTCCTTGAAGGTAGGGCAACTCAAAGACGGTCCTGAAGCTGAAGCAGCAATCATGTGGATTACTGCCGGCGCCAGCTCTACCAAGGGGGCTACAGAGTACAAGGTTCAGGTTGGCGTTGTTGAGGCAAGTCGAGAACGAGGAGGAAGCAAAATAGCTCTGACATCGGGAACGAGTGAAGTCTACATAGACTAGGATACTCAGCATAAATATAAAGCCATGTCTCGGTAGTGAGTACCATGCCCAGCGCAAAAAAGACGATCATTAGGCCCGGCACAAAAGATAGTTTGAAAGGGACGAGACTCGAACTCGCGCGGGTTGCCCCACCAGGAAACAGATGTTAAGCTGACCTTAACCTGGCGCCATAACCAACTCGGCCACCCTTCCAGATGCGATCGTTGAGTGTTCTCGGATCGCTGTTGGTTGTGGGTTACCGCTTGGACAGGGCTTGTTAACCTGGGAGGGGCGCGGTCGTGGTCTTGTGGAGTCGTGATGGCTAGTGTTGTGGAACCTCTCATATCCTGTACTGTTGGCGACTCCTGCATGCGATATTCTGCCTCGGCAGGCGTACTGTGCGACATTGCAGAACACCCGCCGTGCTCTGGAGGAACTGAGAAACCTGGCGCACTCTCAACGGCAAATCTCGCTGTCGACTTATCTACGACGGGAGACATGCTCAAACTTACAAGCACTCTAGAAGAACGCTATCTATGGGTGTATGTGATATACATCATTCAAGATGGCAAGAAACATCCACATGGGCAACTTCAGCTTATGGGTGTCATCTACGCATCAGCAAAGCTGACTATTATTGTATCCGACGGCGACGCGGTGGATGGCATAGTGGGTCTTAAGGGGAGATCACCAACGAGAGATCTCAGTCTTGCAAGATATGATACCAGCTTTTGACGTATTCAACATCGTTTTGCGGCCTGGAACTCTTCTGGGAAATCCTGCTAATTCTACAGTTTTGAAAGTAGCTGATCAGACTGCTTTTTCCTTCTAATTTCCCGGGCTTCAAATGTCAAACCGCACCCAGCTGCCAGTGCGCTACCTGCGAAGACCTGTGCTGCTACATACGATCCCCCATTTATTGAAATGAGCTGACCAGAGATGGGAGATCCTATCAAAGCTCCAAACCCAACCGCAGAAGAGATGATACCCATTTGAGATCCCAATTTTGATCGGTCTGGGCTCAAAAGATGCAACTGCTGCTGGAAATAATGACTGAACACCCCCAACAGATATACTGTAGAAGGCTGTCCAGACATATGGAACAGAAAGTGATTGTACAGCAATCCATGTGTACATACACAGCGAGGAAGCGAATACCAAGCCGATGAAGGTATTGAGCGTGCCAAAATAGGCCGAGAGAAGGCTCGGAAACAAACAGGCAATGAAGCCAATCCCGTTGAGAACGAGGAGATTCAACGCATCGACATATGACATGCCCTGCTTCTCACGTGCATAGGACTTCAAAAAGGAAAATGGGAAGAAGACCCCCAGATATGCCTTGAATGAGTGTTACCCTTGTTCTTCCGACCCGTACTGTCCTAGGACTTCGACTTACAAGAAAGATTCCAATGAAATAAAGCGTGAATTCAAGCTCTTTGAATGCACCCCAGTCGACCAACAGCCGAGTCCCCGGTACAGATCTAAATCTCGGCCTTACCACTGCGAGCGCGATCGCAAGGGTAGCGAGTTGAATAAAACCAATGCTTCTCATCGTCCATCCAAAGCCGATGGACGGGAGTAGGACTCTGGCCATACTCGGATAGATCAGCCCGCCTGTCACGCTGCCACAAGCCGCAATACCTAAGGCAACGGGAAGGTTCTTGTTGAAATAAGTTGAGATGACCGTTAGGTGGGGAGTCAGGAGAAGGCCGTTACCTAATCCGACGCAGACACCTTGAGCCAAAATGAGTTGCCAATATTTCGTGCAAAGAGAGGTCATGAATGTCCCCAGGACAAGGAGAATTGCGCCCAACGTTACGGTGATTCGAAAATGGCCAGCATCCGTAAGGCGGCCACTCACGATGCCACCAAAGAAGAGGAGAAACACAGTGATTGATCCAATCCATGCAACATCTGAGCGGGACTGACCCAAGGATGAGACGTAATACGTTTGGAAGACACCAAATGATATAATAAGTCCCCTTTTGATTGTTCAGCTATCATAACCGCAAGAAAACATCAAATGTTGGTGGGGGTAGCAGTGAAACGTACCAAGTGTTCATGATTACAAAGAACCCGGAGAAGACTACTCAGTTCCTTAGCGTCAGATACAACTAGAATAAAATTAACAAAGCTCAAATACCTGATAAATATGCAACAAGCCCCCCGTCTGGTGGAGGACAGTCGACTAAATTGGGGTCGTCATTGTCTTCGTGTAAAGAAACACCTTGGGCGACCGTGGTTGACGCAGGATGTCGGTGTAGCTCTGGTTCAATATTTTGCATGTCTGGGTCTGAGTGCGTTGAAGAATGGAATCTCATCTCTTGCTGTGAGCATTGCGCTTCTCATAGACCAAAATTGCAACAAGAGCTTACACCGTAACGTAGTAAGGCGAGATCCTTTATGTGGCTGCTCAGGAGCTGAGATGTGGAGCTGTTCATCTGAAAGGTGGCCAGGGGGTGTCTTAACGTAGAAAGCTATTTGTCATGTCTATGCCCAGCGTCATTGCCAAGAACTGTGTCCATCAGTAAGATGCTTTGAAATTCAGACTGCTTTATAATGTAGGTTGCTTTCTAACTACTACGGATCCTAGGTGTTGATAGTTTCTCAAGTCACTTTTCCATAGCTTTATTTAAGAGATAATGTGACCACGGGAGAGCATGAGCAAGTGGACTGTTTCTCGTTGCACATTCTTTGAACATTACCTTTTGCATCCAGCCCCGTCATCATGTCTACCAGCTCGAGATTTGAAGTCAAATGGCTTGTTCCCGGGAAGGCGGTTCAAGTTTTGTAAATACCGTAGGAGAGAAACAGGGATGGCAACACTAACAAAAGTCCAACTCGACTGGACTTTGTTCATTGGTTGATAAGTTATCCACCTCTGGAGCAAGCGATCGGTCTCCACCTCAGTAGATGGTCTTGGCGGAATATGATACCGGATCCGGTTAAGGTTCTTCCACACTGTGGGACATCTCACTTCGGCTTGCCTGTTGCATGTTTTGATTCTGCGCTCATGTGGGAGGCCACAGAGGCATCCAGTGTAAGGAAGCTACATCGACGAAAGCCTGCTGGAAAATTGAAATCAGCGTCTTCATGAATGTGTCTGCCTCCATGGTCATGGGTAGGCTGGATATCTCATGGACTGAAGCATTCAGAAGGTACTTTCGAGCTCACCTAGGATCCGCCTGGGACAATTTCCATCAACGGCTGGTATGCCCACGACACGCCCGATTCATCCATCAAAGCGCCTGTCGATTCTTACTGGCATCGAATTCGGAAATATAAATGAATCGATCATTCAAACTGCCCGAGGGATGGACTAGACAAGAATACAACGAATTCCACCACAAAGATGCCCGAGGACATTTCACAGACAGTCTTCAGCCTGAAGGTCTTGGTGAATTCGTATATCATGATTCACCTCCCTGGCAATTACTTCTGATTACCAATTCCAATGAACGACGCTGGCGAGAACTTGTAGGTTTTTATGATGCCACAGACTCCGCGCCTATCCCGCTAAATCAAGTGTGGATGGCTTTTACACCATCCAAAAGCCCAGGGCTGCGCGCTATCCTCTCACGCTACACATATGCAATTGGGGACCTAGCGTTTGTGAAGAGCTGACACCCCACCATAAAGACGACATGGTACATTTTACAGCGCTAGACACCAAGAATCTGTTCAAGGTTTAGCTGGTAGGTATCTGTCGGAGGAAGTGGGATACGGTGCCCACAGGACATGGTCTGCGTTCTCTGGGCAGAATGGGAGGATGACGTGGCTTATCGCAAAGCCTCATGATGGATGGACAGATATGCGGGGATGTATATTTGGTCCTTGGCTAGCGCCATTGGATGATGAGGTATTGCCGGCAACCCGTCTTGCTCGCCTGTTTATCTTGTGTGAACCAGCAAAACTAGGACACGTATATGCGATATCATATATGCAGGGCATGGCCACGTTGAAGAGAGGGGCGGTGGTGGTGGAGACGAGGCGAGAGATTACAATGGAGATACATGTACAAGTCACAATAATTTCCAATGAGATTTGTTCTTGTCTCCCATTCTCAAATGATCAGGTTTAGGTGTGTGCTGTGTGACCCCAACATTCGAATCTTCGGTGGTAAACAGTCGGGAAACTCCAATCACAACGTGCGTTTGCCCAAGTGCACATTTTCATCAGCCGATCAAAGCTGACACCGTGGTAATGCTTACGGCACAGTCACGATTGAAGCCCGATCTTATGAGGCTCTCTACCATTGCCCTTATCTGTCCTTTCATCTACCCCGCTCTCTCCTTACATGGATATTAACATCCATTCGTGCGTCACCTCAAGTAGTCATTGCTTGAATTTCCCCACCTCAAAATCAGAACAAAAGTTGACACCAGATCCTGATGGCCGAAGCTCTTGGCCTGGCGGCAAGCGTCATTGCAGTAGTGGATATTGCCGCGAAGACTGGGAGCGCCTACTTCAGGCTTCAAAGGCTGTGGGGCGAGATGGAAAATGTTCCGGCCATGCTTCTGGAAAAGACCGAAGATATCCAGATCTTTGAAGATTTCCTCGCAAGTATGGAAGAAAGTCTTAAAAATAGTACACTTCCTCCACTGGCATCAAATCGGGTTCGGTTCGAGAAACTTATCGGCAGGTGTCACTGCACCTTGGACGAACTGAAGGTCATGGTCGATCAGATTGACAAGAGAGTCACGACTCATGGAGGTCCAAAGCACAAGATAGCGTGTGCAAAGGTCACCTTGAAGAGGAATGAGATTGATGCTCTTACTCTAAAGTTCGACCGGGCTCTCAGGATGTTTGAAGTAGCGCAAGCCCAGGAGTGTCGAGGGCTGTAAGTCTAAACCAAAAATTTCAGAGCCTCTATAAGGATTTGAAACGTCTGATGATGACCATTCAATAGCGCAATCGCAACATACACAGTGATAGCTCAGAGCACCTCAAACAAACTACCGAGTTCCTCAGAGACGAGTGCGGCGATCGAACGATCCGGGCACAAGAGGCGGGACGTGCAGCGCGACGAAGCCATATCAACGAAGCAACCAGTTTTCAGCGAGATATGTTCTTCAGCTTCAGAATTCGACCTATTTGGCAAGATCCGTTTTGGACCCGAAAAGTCCGGCGGCTTCTATGCCTTCGTGGCAACCCCAAGCTGGCTTAGTAGATCCAGTAGATCCGTATACTCGGTCTTGGTTCAAAGAGCAACCATGGGTTGGCAAGTCAATTTGAGAACCTACGAAGTTGCCTATTTCGATAACACGTTGCTTGACGTTCTATCGTACGATGAACCTGACAGACTTTATAAATATCTGCACGACCATCGATTGAACATCTTCGTCCGAGAAACCTGTGGTCACAGCATACTACTCGTAAGACATTACCTATTTTAGGGATATCATTCAATGCGGTATGAAACTAATCATATGGAATGATAGTTTGCGATGTACGGTTTATACTTCAACATCATAGAGGCCTTGATCAATCAGGGCTTAGACGTAGACTCCGGCCCCATATGGTATCTCACCTAGTCATTTGGGACTCGTAAATCAGACTTGCTGACTCCTTGCAGGGCATGGCACACTGCACATGTAATAGGGCAATGGGACTTAGAAGATGATTAACTCCGTTTGATACAGATACTAGGCGACAATGGTTTAGACGATGTTCTGGATGGAGCTGATGGGCTTGCCTGGGCTTTGGCATCAGGAACCTCCTTCCGAGCTTTTCAAGCATTACTGACTCGGTGTGCTCCGAATCCCAACCTGTCGTTCTCAGAAAGGTTGAGACGAATGAGAGCGATGGTATATCAACACCAACCATTTTCTTGGACGCTAAATGAGGCTTTTTCCTTGGTACCTGAGACGATGATGGGCAACCAAGATCGGCTAGCCCGGTCCAGATCCGATGGTCATTATTCTCTCCATCACTCCCTTGCGGTCGGCTTTGTGAATTGCATAATGATTGGTCCGTGTCCCACGGAACAGGATGATTGGTCTCAGATGCTAAGGAACTGCGTAAAGCTCGATCCTCCGGGTTTGCAGCATTCAGAACATGGCGCTCCTTACGGGCTGTCAGACTGGGACCAAAACACTTATCATACGCCTTTCTCGGCCATCATCACGCGGGCATGTTTCAACGAGCGTTTCTCTCGACCTTACCAACTTCGTGGAAAGATGGATTTCGCTACCCAACTGAACGGAATCATACGACGTTGGATGAACATCCTGGCGTCTGCAGGGATCGACCTTTTAGAGTATGGTTGTCTGGAAAGCCACTTTCACAAAGAGGAAGGAGCGCCGAGGTTTCGCAAGTTCTTGACCAAGAGACGCGGCTTTTGGTCGGAACCTGATGGGCATTTGGGTTCTCGTTGGTACTTAGTAGCGGGTGTCACGTACGGTCGTCTGCCTGAGCACTGGAATCTTTGGGTTACTTGTGAGGACTACGAGTATGCAGGAGATTTCTGGCATATGACTGAGGAGCAGGCTACTAGTATGCCGGGAAGTTGGATCCCTGATGCGGTCAATTTGCGGTATGAAGTTATGCGATGGTTAGATCGGGAGGCGCCACCACTGATTTGGTCTGAATATCGAAAGATAAAACCACCAGTCTAGGCAGATTACGAGGTGTTAACTTCCTTTCCTTCCAAACCTTAAACGCAATCTTCCCCCCACGTCATGTGTATATGGAGGACAGAAACTCCAGAAGCAAACAGTGCTGAGTGATTTAGAAGCTTCAGGAATATCAATAACAAAAAGAGATAATTTACCAACACAGCTCGTTTACAGCACGATGGGCCATTTCGCTCAACCCAACATAAAACTTTGTTTGTTATTAGATCTATGTGAAGAAATCGCAATTCAAACAACTTATAAAACACCTAGCTAATTACAGAAGACGCCGGCATCGCCGACGGCAAAGATGTATGTTCACTCAACTATGCAACCTCCCATGGTTATCTATCAATCTAAGTGCTCCTCTAGAGTTGCATTTCTATTTGAATATCAATGACGCCACACAGTCAGGCTTCGCCAAAGCCGCCACACGAAACGCTTCCTCCGGCGGCATCTCGTCCTTCGGCTCGGGCAACAAGACAGGCAGCAGCACCAGCAGAGGTGGTTCGTTGAACTAAGAGTCCCAGAACGGCGGACCGAGCCCTAACGCTTAGGAGAAGGTTTACGTGCCGTGAATCAATACACACAAGACACATGGAGTGTTTGATGCATGTCTTTTGGAAATGGGTTTCTCGGGTATGCGATAGTTAATCAACCTCCAAAAAAAGGGTCCTCTGTGACTTACTTGGAAAAGCCGATGGGCACCTTCGGATGAGGTAAAATAACCTCCTATTCTACTGCCTAAATTTGAGAAATTGGTGTTTTCACAAGGCCGTCTTATTACCACGCTTTGATCTACGTAGTCTGCGGATTGCGCATCCAGCATTGAGTTATAAAACAGAGCCCGAAGACTACCGGGACGTGACACTAGGGCACGATGGCAACGTCAGCACTGCATGTTCCTCGCGTGATTCAGTCGAGAGGGCATCATGATCAGCAACCCACACTCCCTCACTGTCAGATTGAACCTGCGAATGGGAACGAACCTTCTTTCAGTACATCACTGTACACACACAAAGCATTGATCTTAGTCAGTAAGAAGTGATTTACTCAATCAAACAATTCAACACAACCCCTACATAAAGAACCGAGATCGCCCTTCTAAACCTCTCAATACAACAGCTACCAACCAAATATCCACGATCTACTCTCAAGATAACAAGGTAACTCAAAAGCAATACTACAACTAACCAAATCTCCCAAAAACATCAATCATGGGCTCCGATAAGATGGACGCGAAGGCAGCAGCCCGCATCGCCAAGGGCAAGGATGTAAGTACCTGATCGGCTCCAATGATTCTCACTTTTGTTTCCAAACGTATAGCTGACGATATGACTTCTCCAGAGCGCCTTCGCCAAACGAGCCGCAGCTGCCGCGGCCAAGAACCAATCCGGTGGTGGCTCCGACTCTAGCTCGGGCAACAAGTCTGGAAACTCGTCCGGTTCCTCGGGCGGTGGTTTCAACTCGAACTCGGGAAAGAAGCAGAGTGATTTTCGCATCTTAGGTAAATAACAGTGATATGACAATATTTGCGTGGATTTCAGAGACTTCATTTGTGGTAGATCAAAAGTTTGTATTCAATAACCCGACTTTTCCAGTCCAGGCCCAAAACGCCTAAATGCCCGTCCATGATATGCATCTCCAGGTATCACATATAGTCTACATCCATGCTAGATTATCTCCCGCCACCTTCTTCTTGTATGTACAAATCATCGCTGTGATGGATATTGGTATCGTGCGGCCTGAGATTGTACCTCCGATGCCGGCATCTCGACGGCATCAGGTGGAGGCTGAGGATATGATGGCTGCACGGGTATAGATGCGAGCTCAAAAACGCCAGGCTGGGGAGCTACTTGTGGCCCAGGCGGGTACGCAGCCTGCGGGTGGTGCCCCCAAGCATGCATTTGCTGTTGCTGCTGCGGTGGCGGAGGAGAGTAAGGCGCGTACGGGGGCTGAGGAGAGTTTGTCGCCCATGTCTGCGCGCCGGGACTCGCGCTCGGGGGGATATCTGTCGTCGGCCTCCATCCTCCCGTCTTCGTCTCAGTCTTGTAATCGTTCGGGTTCTCAAGACCAAACGCGGCGGCGCTGGCAGACGGGCTGTTGTGCGGGTTGTATCCGGTCGCACCGACTCCGCCATCGAGCATCGGCCGAGACTCTTCGTGTGCAGAGCGGCTCTTCTTCAGTCGCCAGACGAATGCGATGATACCGACGATAGCAACTGCGCCAACACCACCGCCCACACCGATTCCAATCTTGGCAGTTGTTGACAGGCCCGAGGCCGCAGCAGTAGTAGTAGAAGTCGCGTCAGTCGGGGTAGGTGCCGCGGTAACGGTGACGGTGGCGCCGCCGGTTGTGGTAGTCATAAAAGTTGTGGGGTTTGCCGTTTTGGACGTTTTCGGCGCTGACGTTGACGACGGCGTAACTGGAATGGAGGTGGCCGTGGCCCCTTGGGCAGCGAGGTTGTTGAATTGGTCCTCGGTGATGGAAATGGGTGTGTTGGAATTCGCGCATGAAGTCTTGAGGTCCGAGTATGTCTCCGAGACGGAACCCTTCGCGTCTTTTCCCAAGCATTTTGCGGTGTTTGTGATGAACTTGCCCTTGGAGTCGCTGCAAAGGCACTTATTCATCTCCGCGACGGTGTCGCCATCGCATTGACTGCTGTCGGAGGCGGAATACAGGCATGGCTGTGCTGCGCTAGGATAGTAGCTAAAATCGTTTTGGACTTTGGCGAATATGGGTGTTGATAGGAGTAGGATGCTCAGCAGGCTCAATGCCTTGCTCCTTGACGGCGCCATGGTGCCGTTGTAAGTGCGCAATTCGATTCGGGAGTGGGATGAGATATAGTCGACAGGGGTGTCGTGAGTGGTCGACGGTATGCGCAGTGTTGGGACTGGACTGGCAAAACGAGTGTGCCATGCGATTTCGAGATGGCCAATCTTGACGGGAAGGATCGAAGTCAATGCCAATGTCAATTGCTAAGAGGATTCTCAATGTTTGTCGACAGTTTCGTCTGATGGATTTGCGATTGCCGCCCCGCTGGGTTAGTTCGCAGGGTTATCGATCGAAGGTGACGCAGGGTTTGGTGAAGCAGAAAAGGGAAAACAGTCAAGCAGCGAGACAGACGGTGAAAGAGGCGCCTTGGGCGTCTTTAAAACCAGGGACGGCAACCGATGATAGGCAAACTAACGACAGAATGGAATGGTTGGTGGCCGCAGTGGCGCCGACTGGACCGGTTTTGGGGTGTCGATGAGATGGAGGCTGAGGCTGAGAACAAGGGCACAAGGGGAAAGAAGAAGCACAGCAGCAGACTGAGATTGAGGGACTGGGGAGGTGCGCAGCTTCTTGCATCTTCGCATTCCACGGGTCCAATGATGAGACGAGGAAGGAAGCTTGTGTCTTTGGTGCCTGGCTCTTTCCATGTTTTCGTCGCATTCCATTCCACAGCAATTAGTTCAAGAAAGGAAACAACTACCCACAACCTCGCTCTGCTGCTCTTTCTCTCCTAGGGCTGAAGGCGGAGCATGTGCAGGCAGGCAGGAGGAAGGCATCTCCCCTGCGCTTTCCCCGAGAAATGACGGCAGGGACACTGGGCTTGGGGGGAAAGAAGCCAATCAGAGGGCGCAGGAGGCCGAGAGAGGCACTGGACTGGACAGCCCGTCTGCTGAGCAAGAGAGGCTGTGCCACACCTGCGCTGCTTTCCTTGGTGTTGCATGGTACCTGCTGCAAAGCATCTGTCCAGGGCAGGGTGCCACAGGCAGAAAGATACGGCACAATGAGGAAAGAGCAGCGGGTGTTGGCGTGTGGCAGGATCTGCGCTAGGCCTGGAATTCATCGAGGAGTCGCTAATTTTAGAGGTCCACAAGCCTCCCCGTGCCTGAGCTCCAATCCAACACCTGCATCTGTATCTGCATCTGCTG